GAGAGAGAGAGAGAGAGAGAGAGAGAGAGAGAGAGAGAGAGATGGCCATGCATCTTCCCATGTTCTACCGGGAGATTCGTTCTCATTTTGCACCTGTATGGGATCCCGATCCCAATAGGAAGAGAATGAATCTGCCGCCAGAACATGAGAAGATACTGCCATTTTTCAGGCTTTCATACACAAAAAAAATGGTGGCCTATTAGCGGGAGATTCATTCTCATTTTCCATGCCGTGCACGTAGATGGGATTCAGATCCCAACAGCAAGAGAGTGAATCTGCCACTAGAATATGGGAAGATACACCACCAATTATTTTGGCTTTCTTACACAAAAGTGATGGCGGTGTATCTTCCCATGTTCTAGCGGGAGATTCGTTGTCATTTTGCATGCTGTCTCTCTCTCTCTCTCTCTCTCTCTCACACACACACACACACACACACACACACACACACACACACACACACACACACACACATTGGATATGTCTTGTTGGTTTTGTTGATTATACATGGCCTAATTCTTTGCCCTGCTTTAGAGCATGGGCTGTTTGGATGTTTACGGGTGGCCATGAGTTGTGTTTGGGGAGAATGTATGTTTTGTGGGCTGGCGTGGAAGGCTTTCCCAGTTTTTTCGGACCCTTAGCAGGGGGGGTCGGTGCGTTCTTGCTGGAGAAGTCTTCCGTCTTAGGTAAGTTGCCTCTTATCTTCTTCCTCCTCTTTGGCAGTGACGCGAGTATGTAGTTTGAAATGAATGTCGGGAATGCCAATGCTGTTATATTTGTTTGTTTTTGGTAAATGAGTTCTTGGTTTTGTGGGCCGATGCGGAAGGCTCTCCAAGTTCTTTCGGACCTTTGAGGGGGTCGGGTCAGTGCCTTCTTGCTGGAGTAGTCTTCCGTCTTAGGTAAGTTGCCTTCTGCCCTCCATCCCCTTATGGTTTGAAATATATATGTATACATACATATGTATTTGTGCAAGTGTGTCGCTTTGGCAGCAGACGGGTGTGTGGGCACTTGGCGCTGAACCACACAACACGTGGCCAACCTTGCATTTTTTATTATATCATATTGCCTATCTAAACTTTTGCGTTATGGATGGCATGTCATGATTTGTGAAGGGAATGAGAGAGAGAATCTGTGGTCTTTTAAAACAAAACACACACACATGGACCTCGTACGGACCAAAACCCCTTTTCACGATGACTCTGCGAACTTTCAATCTAACGACGACACCTGGCAGACATGATCTGAAATGGTGGTGTCAATTTGTGTTCCATTTCTCACTTTTTTTTTTACTTTTTTTCTTTGTTTTCTTGAAAATTTCTCACTTTATGGACGCCTGCGTTATCTTCCTTCTACTCTGTAAAATAAATTTGCATTCAACTCGATCAAAGGGGAAGAAGAGAGGCAACAAAGGCAAGGGGGGTTGGGCAGGGGGAGGAAGAGGGATGGAGAAAGGCGGGAGGAGAGAGGTATGGGCGTGGCGTGAGGAGTATAGGTACAGGAATTGGGCCCAATGGCCAGGGGGTTGTATTGAAAAGATGATGTAGGGCGGGTAGAGCTAAACTGGAAATTTTTCGGGCCCTTTGAAAGTTGGAACGTAGGGGGGTATTTTGAAAAGTTGGACGGGTACCTGGTAAGGGTATATTGGAAAGATGTCTGGTCCAACTGACGCGAAGGGCATTTTGCAAAGGTTTTTAATTGTCGGAAAGTGTAGTCCGCTCTACCCACATCTCAACTCTTAGGGGCATTTTGGCATTTATCTGAACTTTGAGGGGTATAACGCAACTTTTCCCTTTTATTAATTTCTTTTTTGGAAAAACGAAATGGAAAGAAAAAAGGAAAATTGTCCAACAATTTTAATTGACATGGGCAATGAAGAGGAATTACTAATTAGTATTCAGTGGTTGACCCTTCTGTTCTGTGCCCTTAAAAAACATTAAAATTTTCAAAAATACAAACCATTTCGAACAACCAACATGTGGGTCAGGTCTCGGGTTCTTGTTCCTGTTCCTTTCCGCTTCTTTGCTTTCTCCGTCCCGCACTTTTCTTCTTCGTCGCCGCATCTCCTTTGTCGTCTTCATCCTCTTGTTTCCCGCCCTTTTTTATTACCACTCTCACACCATCCTCTCTCGTGCCATCTCTCTCCTCCCTCCTGCCATCTACCGCCCTCCTGTCTTGCGCCATCTACCGCCCACCTAGCTCACGCCGCCTCTCTCCTCCTTCCCGTCATCTTCTTCCTCCGTTCCTCCGTCCCTCCTCCCTCCTCCCTCCTCCCTCCTCCCTCCTCCCTCCCGCTGTCTCCACCTCTCTACTTCCTGGTGCATCCTCCTCTGTCTCCTTCCTCCCTTCCTCCTTTCCTCCCTTCCTCCCCTCCTCCCTTTCTCCCTTTCCTCCCTTCGTCCCTCATCCCTCCCCACTCCCTCCCTCCTTCTTTACCCCTCCACCTTTCACATAGACACAGGAAAACAAACAGCCCATTCTCGAGCAGTTCTCGGCAGGCACAGCAATGCCCCACCACCCAAAAATAAACAAAAGAAAGTTAAAAAAAACCGTTTTCTTTTGCTTGCCCTGGGTACCATTGCAATCAGACTCGTTCTCAAACACACTTTTCATGCATGTAAACAGCAACGCAGCATACTGGCGAAATGCACCCACTCAAAACTCAGATGTATGGCTTTCAGATACGAGTTCACTCTCAATTGGCTATGGCGACTTCAGCGCCCAAACATCTCACTGTTCACATACACTGGATCACCCTGGATATCCCACACGCATCACTCTAACACTCGAACACACACACACACTCACTACTAACTACAGCTATGGCAGCTGTCGCTGCAT